TTTCTCCTGTTGAACACAGACAAAACTGAGGTTTTGGTTTTTGGACCTGAACACCTTAGGAATGAATTTTTCAGTCATTCTCCCTCCGTAGATGGCATTAATCTGTCCTCCAGCTCTAATGTTAAAAATCTTGGTGTTATTTTTGATCAGGACATGTCTTTTATCCCCCACATTAAAAACATTACTAGAACTGCCTTCTTCCACCTGCGTAATATCACTAAAATTAGAAACATCTGATCTAAAAATGATGCAGAAAAACTGGTCCATGCATTTGTCACGTCTAGACTGGACTATTGCAATGGTTTATTATCTGGATGCCCAAATACTTCTTTAAAACGTCTTCAGTTGATTCAAAATGCTGCTGCCAGAGTCTTAACCGGAGTTAGTAGGAGAGATCATATCTCTCCAGTTTTAGTTTCTCTCCATTGGCTCCCTGTCAAATCCAGAATAGAATTCAAAATCTTACTTCTAACCTACAAAGCTGTCAGCAACCTGGCTCCATCTTATATTACAGATCTTATTGTTCCATATTTTCCTAACAGAGCACTTCGCTCTCAGACTGCAGGTTTACTTGTGGTTCCTAGAATTTACAAAAACAGAATGGGAGGCAGATCTTTCAGTTATCAGGCTCCTCTCTTGTGGAACCAACTTCCAATTTCTGTCCGTGAGGCTGACACATTATCCAGTTTTAAAACTAGGCTTAAGACTTTCCTTTTTGATAAATCCTATAGCACGGGTCGGCTTGGGTTTCCTGAGCTGTCCCTTAGTTATGCTGCTATAGGCTTAGACTGCTGGAGGACAAACTGACATGCCGTCTGCGCAGGGCCAGATTAACACTTTGCTGTACACTGGGCAACAATCTTCAAGGGCCCCATCATCACGACCCCAGAATCACCATAATCTGTCAAAATACAGAATTACCATAATATACAGTAAATATACTTAAAATTCTAACTATCAATTAGGGATGCAATAACGAATTGATAAAATCGATAAAAATTTATGATTAAAAGCGTTGGCAACGAATTTCATTATTGATTCGTTGTGTCGCGCGATTATGCGTCTTTCACGGCGTTGCGGAGCCGTTTTGTTCACGGGCAGTTCATTGTCAATGCTGACTGACTGAATAAAGTTTGAAAAAAAAAAAACACTGCAGCGCGAGTTGAACAGAGCGAGGCAGAGCAGAGTCTGTTTTCAAAGGAAATTAAGTAAATTTTACAAATGACCGACGAAGCGAAAACTGTTCAACCCAAGTCCTCCAAAGTGTGGGAGCTCTTCACAAAGATAAAAAATGAAACATACAGCTTTGAAAATTTACAACACAGTAGAACCACGCTGATAAACGTCAACATGTCGGAGTCACGAGGAGGAGGAAGGAGCAGCAGCTGATACAACTCTTCATGTGTTGCAGGTGAGTCTCTACAATATTCACATTGTTCTGTTTCAAGAGAGAAAACGTAACGTCAGTCTGTCTGTAGCTGAAGCTGTTTGTTTGTTTGTTTGCTGATTAATGACGGTGATAAAGAACGTGTGTAACTTTTTATTTAATTTAATTGGAACAAGCAGTGTTTAAATATGATTTATAAATAAATCTAACACAAAGATAATTTAATGATTAAGCTTCAATTTTTAATTTGCTGGCAAAGTCTGAAGACACTGCAGGTATGGCAGGATGAATTGCATTTAAACAGGAATTAAAGTATTTTATTACATCTACTCAAATGTGTGTAATTAAGTATTTTATGTGTGTGTGTGTGTTTAATTGCTCTTTTAGCTTCTTTTGCCTGAACCTAACACTGTAAGTGAAACAAGGCATTTCTTGAGTTGCTGTAAATTATGATATAATACATATTTACTCTCTAATTCCAGAAAACAACAACAAACAACAACAAACAATGACAGCCTTCATGATGGACAGACATCATGGACACCACAGCAGCAGCTGTCTTCACTGAAATCATCCTTAAATGATCATCACTGACACGAGGCCTCTGTCGATGGTTGAAGACGAAGGCTTCACTACAATAATCCACACTTTTAATCCAGGTTACAATGATCCACACTTTTAATCCAGGTTACAATAATCCACACTTTTAATCCAGGTTACACTCTTCCCTCAAGGACACATTTTACAAAGTAGCTACATACTGTGCAGGTATAAAGATACATTTGTATATATTTTTGTGTACATTTATATTTTTAAGCTATGTGACTAACTTTTATTTTTTATTATTCAATATTTTACTAACAGAATAGTAAAATAGCAACCTGTTTTTTGTGCGAATTGCTATGTCAGTCAAATGTTCAATTTTGGAATAAAGGGGTGGAAATTAAAACGTTTTATTTTTTATTTTTTGCCGATTCATCGATTAATCGAAAAAATAATCGGCCGATGAATCGATTATTGAAATAATCGTTAGTTGCAGCCCTAATATCAATTGTATTTTTATGTATAAAACTCCAAATGCTCATTGACACAAATCATCAAGACTGAATTAAGTTGAAAGTACTTTGAACAGCACATGACACCATATGTGTACTTGTTTAGTAAAGTGTTGGCCACTGGTGTCAGAAGCATTTATAATGTGTGTGTGTGTGTGTGTGTGGGGGGGGGGGGGGACACACACTGATGGGGGGTCTGGTGGTCCTCCCTCAGAACATTTTGAATAAAGTAGATGCCATTTCCTGCATTCTGGTGTATTTTAATGGTTGTTTAACATCTAGTTTTACCTACACAAGTAAACACTTGGAACACCTTGGGATTCCCCTGGAGGAGCTGGTCCAAGTGTCTGGGGAGAGGGAAGTCTGGACCTCCCCACTTAGGCTGATACCCCCCGGATGGATGGAAGTAAACACTTGATTCAGTAACTATTTTAGAGCTAATGGCACAACAAGAAGTAACCTGACCAACAGCTGATTCAATGAATTAAAAATATTATATATTCAAAAGTGATGATTTCAGAGAGAGTTTATCGTCATTCGCACCTCATGTGGTGGAACGAGATTATGTACACGGGGTCCCAAATTTGATGCCCAAATTAAAACTAAATATCTGTAACTTAGTTGACTTGAAATGAAATAAGATTATCAATGAATGTTTGCAACAAATGATTTACTGATTATAACAAAGATTCCTTCAAGAAACCTCCCAGTATAAATCATAAAACCAGAATGACTTCTGCTCATTCTAAATTTGTCAAATGGCCTAAATCTCCTAAAGTGAAGGAGAATCATTTTAAAATAATAAATAAGATATATGCTGTAGTTATGTTTCTGCAAAGAAGATTTAAATTTGATGTTGATTTGTGTGTCTTTTGTAAATCACAAGATGAATCCCTCAAGCAATTTTTTTTTAATGTCAATACAAAGTGTTTGGTCAGACATCAGAAACTGGATTAATCTCAAACTTAACATTCCTTCTTTTGATGCTGATAACATTTTACTTTATGTGATAACTTGAGCTCAGTTTTCTCTGATGCCATTAATATAGTCGGACTTACAGCAAAGTACCACATTCACTGTAGTAACAGGAGTGATAATAATCCTTCCTTCTGTTTGATGAGCGGTTTTAAGTCATACTATTCTTCATTAAGTAGATTAAAAATCTGCAAAACTGCTAAAATCATCTCACAACAGATACAAACTTATTGTTTTAATTAAAACAAGAAGTTTCTCAAGTAAAAAAAATCGAATGAGCTTGTCAGCAGGTAAGGGGCGTTTACCTTCGGGACAAATTGAGGTTGTCGATTGGTCAGTTACTGACACGCCTTCTGAGTTGATTGACAGGTCACGCAGTTGAGGGTCCGATTGGAAAAAAAAAAAAAACAGAGCTGCAGCAGCTGCGCTGGGAGGAGGCGGGGCTGCACAAATGCAGTGGAAGCGCAGCAGTTTCTGTGCAGCGCAGAGCTCCAAGTAAAGCAGGAGATAACCAGATATTTTGCTTGTGCCCTCACTGACCTGGGCCCCTTAGAGATCATGGGCCCCTGGGCAGTTGCCCAGTTGCCCATATGGTTAATTCGGCCTTGAGTCTGCGTCTCAGACACTGTGCTCTAACAGACACTGTGCTCTAACAGACACTGTACTCTAACAGACACTGTGCTCTAAGACACTGTACTCTAACAGACACTGTGCTCTAACAGACATTGTGCGCTAAAAGACACTGTGCTCCAACAGACACCGTGCTCTAACAGACACTGTGCGCTAACATACACTGTGCTCTAACAGACACTGTGCTCTAACAGACACTGTGCGCTAACAGACACTGTGCGCTAACAGACACTGTGCTCTAACAGACACTGTGCTCTAACATACACTGTGCGCTAACAGACACTGTAAGCTAACAGACACTGTGCGCTAACAGACACTGTGCTCCAACACTGTGCTCTAACATACACTGTGCTCTAACAGACACTGTGCGCTAACAGACACTGTGCTCTAACAGACACTGTGCGCTAACAGACACTGTGCGCTAACAGACACTGTGCTCTAACAGACACTGTGCGCTAACAGACACTGTGCGCTAACAGACACTGTGCGCTAACAGACACTGTGCTCTAACAGACACTGTGCTCTAACAGACACTGTGCGCTAACATACACTGTGCTCTAACAGACACTGTGCTCTAACAGACAGTGCTCTAACAGACACTGTGCGCTAACAGACACTGTGCTCTAACAGACACTGTGCTCTAACAGACACTGTGCTCTAACAGACACTGTGCTCTAACAGACACTCGAGCTGTTTATCATCCATGAACATTAAATAAAGTGTCTTGTTTATTCTGTTGAATAAATGATCTTTTCTGTTGTTGAACGGGACAATGTTTGGAGGAGGATAGCAAGACTCCTTGCAGCACCTCCGTGAGTAAATGTGACCATCCTGTCACTCCGTCCTCACCCCGCTGCCTCCTCCAGAGGCTGCTCCTCTACTGCCCCTAAAGGTTCAGTGTCTGATGTGTTCAGGTTCTGGTGCCGTTGTGTGATGCATTCAGGTTTACTTACCGTGTCTGATGTGTTCAGGATGTGGTTCCTTGAAGTGGAGCTGGTATGGTAGGACAGCCAGACTCCTCCTGGTGGGCTTATCCCTGATTTCATTCACCACATCTCTCAGAGTGTAGATGTTCTTGCCGATCTCCTGGAACACAAATCAACGAGTGAATGTTAAATTGGAGCTTCATTCTGGCAGATCCTGATCTCTGCACACCGGGTACATCCAACTTAACTGAAGTTCAAGAAGCTGATGTGGACGGATTAGATCTTTGTGATCCGTGGAAATACATGATACGAAAACAGTTTTGAAGACGACTTAATAAAGGTCCACCTACACCACACCTGAGTGGACCTGCTCTGTGTTAACATATGACCCTTTAAAAACTCGGTTTCCGGTCCGAGTGGGAGTAGGATCGTGGCCTCGTTCTGTCCGCTCAGCAGCATGAGCCTCCTGCTGGTCACCCCTCCCCTGGCCGAGGTTCAGTTCGTGTGACCCAACTGTGTGACGGACCTGACGCTCACTATCACCTACAGAACACCTGCTTGCGGCTCTCACGTCATGGTCTCACCTGTAGAGGCGCTTTCTTTAAAAACGCTCCAGCGTCCGCGACAACATGCTCAACCAAGCTCTGCGCCATCTTGCTGAGATGACATGCTGCTGGAGCGACCACTCAGAGGAGAGGAATGCGCCCTGTGACGTTTGAGTGACCTTAAAAGCATCATCGGTGTAGGAAATTTTAAATCTCAGCTGTGTGTGGACCAGGAAAATTCCTGAAACTATTATGCAATAGTTTATTTAGCGTTTTATGGGGGATAATTTAATATATTAATGATTTGCTTGTCTTATTAACCAATACTGGCGTCTGATTCTGGGTACAAATAAATTTGAAGGAAATTGAAATTTTATTATTGTGATTAAAAAAAAAGGTATTTAAAATGTTTTAGCGAAAGGTACTGTCAGCTGAAGGTGGTCAGCATTAATTGTCTTTTCTGGACACAGTAGCCATAGACATATATACGTAAATGGACGGTACGTAAACGTGCCGTCTTCTTTTTGTTCATGTGTTTTTCCAGCGTACGTAAACGCATCACATCCCATGAAAGTCACGTGACCGTTTGTTTAGAAGCCGGAGGAAGATGGCGGCACGATGGAGTAGTGAGAATGTTGTGGTGGAGTTTCGGGACGCTCAGGTTAGTTGTTTGTTTCAAACTTTCTACCGGTTCTTTCCTACATAAAGTAGCGGTCCAATATGAGCTTTTCATGAATTTATATGAACGATATCGAAGCAGAATAACTTCATAATGTCTGACGTCAGAGTAAGGCATCTGGTCTATCACATGCAAGAACTCGTTACATACTGAAACTGAAAACAGGATGCAAGGTGAGAGTATTCTGTATAAACTATCTTCTGTTCACACTTCTTACATGTTGGTTCAAGAATTGTTTCGGATGTTTCGGATGTTGTAGTGGTTGGCAACGGTGGCTGAGCTGCAAGGGCGTCAGAAGCATCCGTAATGTGGGGGGGACACGATGATGTACACGCGCGCGTGCATGTGTGCGCACGTAAAAAAAGGTGTTCACTAGTGAACAAAAAAGCAGCATTTCACCTATATTTCCTTTAATTCCACACATTTAAAGCATGTTTCTCACCAAGTTTGTGTAAATTCAGCTGTGGATTTTAGAGACATTTTAACTTTAATACACTTTAATACAGAGCATCAGATCTGCACTATTTGTGTTTATAGAGAAATAAAAAACATCACCACTGGACTTTTTTTACTTGTGTTCAACACTCATCTAAATGATGTTTCTCATGAAGCTTGAGGACAATAAGGTGTGGGGTTTTAAAGACATTTCAACTTTAATGCACCTGAACACACAGCGTCTCTTACACCTGCAGCGTCACAGTTACTGCTAAGCTCAGATGCTACAGACGTAGCTCCTCTCAAGCATCCTCCTAACATGAATATATGTTTATGATCAACCCCCTGGTCAACCACTGCCCGCACTAAGCTGCTAAACTGGCGAGCGAGTAACACAGGTACCTCCACCTGTGCGCGTTTTCTGCCGAGGCAGGAGGCAGGAAGTGACGGTGGAGAGTTGGAGGTAACCAGGAAAACCTGGAGTGGAGTTTTAGTGGTTTGAGTATTATCCTATTAGTCAAGTGGAATGGATTCGTTCACGAAGAAAGAGAAACTGCGCCGCCTGAACTAATGTTTTATAGTAAAAGTGGGGGGTCCAAATGAAAGTTTTTTTATGAGGGGGGGACTTGTCCCCTTCACATATAATGGTTGCGACGCCTATGCTGAGTGGTTAGAGCAGTCGTCCTCCAATGCGAGAGCTGGGGGTTCGAATCCACCAGCAGCCACATGCTGAAGTGTCCCTGGGCAAGACACTGAAGTTCTCGTTACCTCTGGTGTGTGTCCCATCAGTGTTTGAATGTGATCTAAAGCACTGATTAGTCTCTTTAGAATGATTTGTTCAATTAGATTTGTATGAATGGGTAAGTGAGGCACAGATTGTAGTGTAAAGCGCTTTGAGTATCTTGAAATAAGATGGAAAGGTGCTATATAAGTACAGTCCATTCATGAAAACAAATATTGTGTTCTTATGTTTCAGGCCACTGCCATGTCTGTGGATTGCCTGGGCTCCCATGCTGTACTGTCCTGGTAAGTTCCTGCTTATGGTTGTTTAATACTTCAGTCCACCATTTCAGAAAATCCACCACAGTGCTTTGATTTTTGTTCTCATTCATGTGTCTATATTAGACTGGAACAATATCTTGTGAGACTAAAATGTTACAAGTTTTTTTGTGTTGTCTTGTTGCTGTAAAATGTCTTCACCTCTTTAAATTGTGAGTGTGGCAGCATTTCACAAACATGTCGGGCACTAGGACCACACGGCACATTTCTTAAGCTCTCCCATCTGCAGCTATGTGCTGAAAGGAAGAGTCTTGTCACCTTTATGTAAAACAGATTTATTGGGAGGAAAATACAAACCGGATTCCAAAAAAGTTGGGACACTAAATAAATTGTGAATAAAAACTGAATGCAATGATGTGGAGATGGCAAATGTCAATATTTTATTCGTAATAAAACATAGATGATGGATCAAAAGTTTAATCTGAGTAAATGTAACATTTTAAAGGAAAAATATGTTGATTCAAAATTTCACAGTGTCAACAAATCCCAAAAAAGTTGGGACAAGTAGCAATAAGTGGCTGGAAAAAGGAAATTGAGCATATAACGAACAGCTGGAAGACCAATTAACACTAATTAGTTCAACTGACAACATGATTGGGTATAAAAAGAGCTTCTCAGAGTGTCAGTGTCTCTCAGAAGCCAAGATGGTAAGAGGATCACCAATTCCACCATTGTTGCGCAGAAAGATAGTGCAACAATACCAGAATGGTGTTACCCAGTGTAAAATAGCAAAGACTTTTAAGTTATCATCATCAACCGTGCATAACGTCATCAAAAGATTCAGAGAATCTGGAACAATCGCTGTGCGTAAGGGTCAAGGCCGTAAAACTCTACTGGATGCTCGTGATCTCCGGGCCCTTAAACATCACTGCACCTCAAGCAGGAATGCCACTGTCAAGGAAATAACAGAATGGGCTCAGGAATACTTCCAGAAAGCATTGTCAGTGAACACAGTCCACCGTGCCATCCACCGTTGCCAGCTGAAACTCTACAGTGCAAAGAGGAAGCCATTTCTAAGCAAGCTCCACAAGCTCAGACGTTTGCACTGAGCCAGGGGTCATTTAAAATGGAGTGTGGCAAAATGGAAGACTGTTCTGTGGTCAGATGAGTCACGATTTGAAGTTCTTTATGGAACACTGGGACGCCATGTCATCCGGACCAGAGAGGACAAGGATAGCCCAAGTTGTTATCAACGCTCCGTTCAGAAGCCTGCATCACTGATGGTATGGGGCTGCATGAGTGCTTGTGGCATGGGCAGCTTGCATGTCTGGAAAGGCACCATTAATGCAGAGAACTACAGGTCCTTCTCAAAAAATTAGCATATTGTGATAAAGGTAATTATTTTCCATAATGTAATGATAAAAATGAAACTTTCATATATTTCAGATTCATTGCACACCGACTGAAATATTTCAGGTCTTTAATTGTTTTAATACTGATGATTATGGCATACAGCTCATGAAAACCCGAAATGCCTTCCCAAAAAATTAGCATATTTCATCCCACCAATGAAAGACAAGTGTTTTTGGGTGTCATGAAAGGTGCTTTATAAATAAAATGATTATTATTAAAAAACGCCAACCATCAAATAATCATGTTCAGTTATGCACTCAATACTTGGTCAGGAATCCTTTTGCATGAATGACTGCTTCAATGCGGCGTGGCATGGAGGCAATCAGCCTGTGGCACTGCTGAGGTGTTATGGAGGCCCAGGATGCTTCGATAGCGGCCTTAAGCTCATCCAGAGTGTTGGGTCTTGCGTCTCTCAACTTTCTCTTCACAATATCCTACAGGTTCTCTATGGGGTTCAGGTCAGGAGAGTTGGCAGGACAAATGAGGACAATAATACCATGGTCAGTAAACCATTTACCAGTGGTTTTGGCACTGTGAGCAGGTGCCAAGTCGTGCTGAAAAATTAAATCTTCATCTCCATAAAGCTTTTCAGCAGATGGAAGCATGAAGTGCTCCAAAATCTCCTGATAGCTAGCTGCATTGACCCTGCCCTTGATAAAACACAGTGGACCAACACCAGCAGCTGACATGGCACCCCAGACCATCACTGACTGTGGGTGCTTCACACTGGACTTCTGGCATTTTGGCATTTCCTTCTCCCCAGTCTTCCTCCAGACTCTGGCACCTTGATTTCTGAATGACATGCAAAATTTGCTTTCGTCCGAGAAAAGTACTTTGGACCACTGAGCAACAGTCCAGTGCTGCTTCTCTGTAACCTAGGTCAGGCGCTTCTGCCGCTGTTTCTGGTTCAAAAGTGGCTTGACCTGTGGAATGTGGCATCTGTAGCCCATTTCCTGCACACGCCTGTGCACGGTGGCTCTGGATGTTTCTACTCCAGACTCAGTCCACTGCTTCCGCAGGTCCCCCAAGGTCTGGAATCGGCCCTTCTCCACAATCCTCCTCAGGGTCCGGTCACCTCTTCTCGTTGTGCAGCGTTTTCTGCCACACTTTTCCCTTCCCACAGACTTCCCACTGAGGTGCCTTGATACAGCACTCTGGGAACAGCCTATTCGTTCAGCAATTTCTTTCTGTGTCTTACCCTCTTGCTTGAGGGTGTCAATGATGGCCTTCTGGACAGCAGTCAGGTCGGCAGTCTTACCCATGATTGCGGTTTTGAGTAATGAACAAGGCTGGGAGTTTTTAAAAGCCTCAGGAATCTTTTGCAGGTGTTTAGAATTACGTCGTTGATTCAGATGGTTAGGTTAATAGCTTGTTTAGAGAACCTTTTCATGATATGCTAATTTTTTGGGACAGGCATTTTGGGTTTTCATGAGCTGTATGCCATAATCATCAGTATTAAAACAATTAAAGACCTGAAATATTTCAGTTGGTGTGCAATGAATCTGAAATATATGAAAGTTTCATTTTTATCATTACATTATGGAAAATAATGACCTTTATCACAATATGCTAATTTTTTGAGAAGGACCTGTATGTTCAGGTTCTAGAACAACATATGCTCCCATCTAGACGTCATCTCTTTCAGGGAAGACTCTGCATTTTTCAACACGATAATGCCAGACCACATTCTGCAGCAATCACAACATCATGGCTACGTAGGAGAAGGATCCGGGTACTGAAATGGCCAGCCTGCAGTCCAGATCTTTCACCTATAAAGAACATTTGGCGCATCATAAAGCGGAAGGTGCAACAAAGAAGGCCCAAGACGATTGAACAGTTAGAGGCCTGTATTAGACATGAATGGGAGAACATTCCTATTTCTAAACTTGAGAAACTGGTCTCCTCTGTCCCCAGACGTCTGTTGAGTGTTGTAAGAAGAAGGGGGGATGCCACACAGTGGTAAAAATGGCCTTGTACCAACTTTTTTGGGATTTGTTGACGCCATGAAATTTGGAAACAACAGATTTTTCCCTTAAAATGAAACATTCTCTCAGTTTAAACTTTTGATCTGTGATTTGTGTTCTATTCTGAATAAAATATTAGATGTTGGCACCTCCACATCATTGCAATCATTTTTATTCACAATTTGTTTAGTGTCCCAACTTTTTTGGAATCCGGTTTGTACTCAATCAATCAAACAAAAATGAACCCGACTAAATATTTGATCCCCCATGCTACCTGTTGAATCATCTTTGTTGTCCTCAGTTTGAGCAGCCAATGTCCTAAAAGTAATAATAAAACAAAAGTTTTATTATCATTAGTCTGAAAAGTCTGTCAGAGCCCCTCACAACTACAAATGTCTGCTGGTAGTTTGATCCGTATTGTTTTCTCCCTTAATTTAAATTTTTAGGTAAAAAGATTGTAGCTGTTTGAATTTTCAGAGGGTTTTTGATTATCAGTGGCCAAATGTTTTTTATTGGAAATCAGTTTAAAAAAAAAGAAAGATTTTAAAGAAAGACTTAAAACTTTGTTTTGACAGAAAAATAAAACATTGACAAAATAATTTGGAAAAACATTTACATACTTTTTCAAGAGAATAACTAGAAGATTTACATGGGGGGGGACTGAAAACTTTTTTTTTCATGTTCTCCTCTTGACAGTTGTTTTTATAAAAGATTTTGTTGTAAACACTGAAATATCAAAAGCAAGACTTCAAATATCAGCTGCTGTCTCTCTGTGTTGTTGATGATGATGATGTCATCCTCCAGCCGTCACTTCCTGTACATGGTGAATCTGGAGGCGCCGTCCGAAGCGCCGCGTAAAATCGGACATCACAGTAAGTGGGACTTGGGATCGGTCCAGTGGAACCCCCACAGATCAGAGTCTCATGTTTTCGCTGCCTCGGTGAGTTCTGCTCCTCAAAATGATGAAATGTTTTTTCAATTAGATTCTGTCAGTTTTCCTTTTAATAACTGAAGAAACTGTGACTGATGGGGAGCAAGGCCTCCGCTTCACTCTGAGAAGCTGCTGCAGCATGACGGTGCTCATGTCACTATGAAGATATCTTAGTCTCAAACGAAGCCACACATCATTTTTATGTTCAACAAGATCCACACATTCATTCAGTCACAGATGTGTGAAGCTAAATATATTTTCCTTGTAGATTTTTTTTTCGCACAAGAGTATCCCACCCATTATGGGATGTTAATTTCAGCTGTACTGGCCAGAAAATGAACGTTTTCTTCTTGTAGAAAAACTACCAGAAAAATCTAGTTTCCTGTATTTTTGGTGTGGACTGTACATTTACTTACGCACGCACGCACGCACGCACGCACGCACGCACGCACGCACGCACGCACACACACACACACACACACACACACACACACACACCTCATCTTCCCCCTTGTCAGGGGTTGCCACAGCGAGTTAGAATTTACATCTGAAATAAACTGCTCATAATTGTTAGGTTTTTCTTCCTCTGCAGCAAATAACAGAAATTATATTTTCAGTAGCTTATTCCTCAACAAATCTTTATTTTTTAGTCTGAACTGCTGAAATAACCATCCAAGGATGGGCAAGTTACTCTTCTTGTAGAGAAAACTACAAGGAAAATGTATAGATTTTTCCTGGTAGGTTTTCCACATGAAGGATACCCTTCTCATTTTAAGTTATTTCTACAAAATTTACATTTTTGGAACCCAGTAATGCCAGTATAATCTTATGCGTTTTAATAAATGGGTTCTGAACTACTAGGCCAAGTTAGCAGATTTACTGAATTTTTGGGAAAAGACACATTTCTAAGGCTCAGGCGCCTCATGTACAAAAACTTGTGTGGATTTCCTACTGACACATGGCATATGCTCAAATAAATCCAGATGTATGAAACGGTGCACACACATGAATCCAAACACACTTCCTTAGTAGATCCCAGTCAACGTGGAACTGAGCAGCCATGAGGGAATACCTGACTCCTCCCTGGACATGCCTCCATTTAAATATGTAAATAGTTTTAAATGTGCCCTGCACCTGAGGAATCTCCTGAGAATCAAAAAGGTGGAGGCTCGTGAAAACGTTCTTGAATGTTCCCGCTCTGTGCGTGCTTGTAGTCTGTTCCAGACATGCTGTTCATCAGAATGAATGGACGGTGTTGAACCAGGCCACCTCTCCACTGTGTTGGTTAGCTGCTTCTGTGCGTCTCATATAATTTGTACATGGACTGAATGAAAATGTTTCCTGTTAGCAGAAACGTCTTCATCCTGTGATGGAGCTTTTATAACAATGTGTGTGCCGTTTATAGCTCCGATTACATCAGGAAAACCAGCTGATGCTATAATTCTTTAATGCTGGTCTGTTCAGCTGCATTGTGGGTAATTTGATGTACCTGGTTGATGCATGGATCATTCCATCCTACACAGCTGGCATGGCTTGACTCAGGGAGGACTGGCTCAGTCCTGATCGGTCTGCCAGCTCCCTCTGGAATGACCTTGTTGCTATAGGAACCCCAGTGTGGTCAGCAGCTGCATGTGCACGGGCAGCGCACGGCTCCTCGCTGTGTCGCGCTCCAAGACCGGCCGCAGCTCCAAGCACAGTTCCAGAAGGACTGACCTTGAAGACTAAAACTCAGTCGTCCTCGTGGTCCAGAGAATCCTGTCGGTCTCTAAAGACTCGCTCTCTGTGTGTTCACCAGTTGTTATTTCTTCTGATAAAACTAAAGCCGTTGTTGTTAAAGATGTTTCCTGCTCCACTTTGTGCAGCTTTTATATCCACTCATCTAGTTTCATACAGGTGGATGTATGAACTGTTTAACAGTTTCTCAGTATCACCTCGAAGTGTCTCCAATGGACCAGTAACCATAGAAACGTGCGTACGCCAGCCATGAAGCTGGCCTGGGGCTGCACACATTTCCACGCTCATTTCATTCATCATACATGGAGTTGTGCGTGGAAAAGGACGTACTCTGTTTCTGTGCATACGCACACTTTGTACATGAGACCCCAGATGTCCCACCTTTTCGCCAGCCTTGAACGCAGCATTGTCGTTGTAACTCTGGAGTGGTAAAGACGCGTCACATTCACAAACAAGCTGATCCGTGCGCTCGTGTTGACTGAGCTGTCTGCAGCAGGTGAGTTGTGCACGTGCATTTGTATGCTCTGAATCTTCCTGCTTGTGCAGCCTGAAACGTGTACGTCTGAAGAACTGTTCATGCGTTTGTGGATTTTGTATGCTTTGTGACTTCTTCTGAAATGGACCTGTCTTCATATCAGAAGCTGCTGTTTCATCTGACGTGGCCGGTGTTTGTTCAGATGAGCCTCATGCATGTGTGTTTTCAGGTCAACCAGCGAGTGGATCTGTACTGGTGGAGGGAAGGTTGTGGGGAGGCCCACGCCTCCCTGCAGGGACACACTCGGGTCATCAGGTAACGGCAAACAGCAAGTGAACGCACGAGGCTGCAGGCGGGTGCAGTCTGGACTCACTGTGCTGTGTTGGTGTCCTCAGTGATTTGGACTGGTCCTGGTTTGATCCGGAGCTCCTGGTCACCAGTTCTGTGGACACTTACATCTACATCTGGGACACCAGGTCAGAGAAGACTCACACAAGACCGACAACAATCTGAGAACAAACACTGGAGAAACTTCCATCAGCTCCTGGTGTTTACATAAGATCAGCTGTTTTCAGAACCGTCTCATGGTTCTGTCGACAGCTGATCGGGTCACATAAAGAGTTCTGTCAGCATCTGATTGGTCTTGAGGATGAAATGTGTTTAACTTTGTTCCACTCTAATGTCTCTAATGTTTTTTTTTTTATTCCACAGAGACACTCGGAAACCCACAGTGGCGCTTTCTGCTGTGGGTGAGTGTTGAAAACAGACATTTGCAGGGTTCATGTCAGACTTTGGGTTGCTTGTATTCAAGGAAAGTTCTGGAGTGGAGTTCATGAGCTCCTTCATTCCTTCCTTTACATCTTAACATGTCCAACAAAAAACATATCTGTTCCAGGTTTTTAATGTTTGTCCTAAAAGTCCGCACCCCCGTGATCATTTCTTATTTCAGTTTGTTTGCACCAAATGACTGGAGAGAGCTAAAAAAAGATTAAAACTCTGTGCCCCATTATCACCTTCAGTAATTCTATACAGTCGCTAGATTCTGATCAGTGCACCTGCATTTAATTGAACTTGGCGATCCAATTGTTTTATGTCCAGAAAATTTTGTGATGCATTCTTGTGTGTAACGAGTCAGAGTGTAATCTGTTTTAATCAGAGTCAGAGATTCTTTATTGTCATTCACACCTCATGTGGTACATGTGGTGGAGCGAAATTATGTACACAGAGTCCCAGTTACATCCAACAATAAAATGTAAAAGAAAAACCGTAATAAGATCTAAGATATGAACTAAGAAAAACATCAACTAAAAACACTAAGCACTAATAGCATAAATACATTATGTCGAACATCAGCACAAACATGAGTCTATGTGAGCAGATGAGCATGCATGAATACATCATCATGAAACAGATCAGCAGCAACATGAAACAGATCAGCAGCAACATGAAACAGATCAGCAGCAACATGATGTAATTTTTCACAGTGATTATTCTGGTTAGAGATTCATGAGTCTAACAGCCTCAGGGTAGAAGCTGTTCCTCATTCTAGTGGTTCTACACTTAATGCTCCTCAACCTCCTTCCTGAGGGGAGTGGGGTCAAAAGTGTGTATGTTGGGTGAGTGGGGTCCTTCATGATGCAGGTGGCCCTGTGTTTCGTGATACAAGAGTTTACACATTGGGTGTTTGGATTGTTGTTTTATCGTTCCTGCTTCTTAGCCAGGTTGTCATGGTAACTAAGCTGGTTAAATAAAGGCTGAATAAATACATGATGTGGCTAGTTAAACACAGGCTACTCGGTGAAATCAATACATTTCATTTATGCTGTCATTTAGTGTCAGAAGCTGCCTGAGGCTGTTTGCTCACATTTTAACGCGGTCAGTCCCTCATTTTCTGCTCGTTTATTGCTGCATGACGCGATGACCAGTTATGATTCCTAACTGAACTGACTGTCTGATACCCTCCTCCGTGCACTCTCAGCTCATTAGGACAATAAGTTGTTTTATCACATTTTCCCTGCAGTTTCCAACTTTCCAAAATATACATGTTCAATAATCCAGGAAGATGAATCTAACAAGATTCAGGTCCTCTGGACGGATACTTGGTTGTTGAAACGTTTCGTCTTTTATCCAAAAGATAAAAGAATTTGGATAAAAGACAAAATGTTTCAACAAAGAAGAACCCGTCCTGAGGACCTGACTCAACCTTGTTAGTTTAACAAATATTGTGTTGTGACCGGAGGGACATCATTTCAGAAGTTAATCACATATGTTGGTGGCACAGATCAGGTTTATTTTAGTCAAAAATGTTGTAAACTTTTTGGTTTCAAATCAATCCCATATTAAACGACTTTGTTTTATTTTTGGCTACAGACTTCCACAGTTGTCTAGTGAGAGGGCATTGCCCACGCTCAATCTCAAGCACACTGTTAGAAATCTCGGGGTGGTTTTTGACTCGGATTTTAAGTTTGACAAACAGATCAGTTCAGTTCTGCAGAAAAGTTTTTTCCAACTGCGGCAGGTAGCTAAGCTCAAGCCAGTGTTATCCAGACCCAACCTTGAAACATTAGTCCATGCCTTCATCACAACCCGCCTGGACTATTGTAACTCACTTTATGCTGGGGTCAGTCAGGCGTCCATTTCACGTCTCCAGCTCGTCCAAAATGCAGCTGCTCGGCTTTTAACTGGTACACGTAGGTCTGAGCACATCACACCTGTTCTGTCCTCCCTTCACTGGCTTCCTGTGCGATCCAGAATCGACTTCAAGATTCTCCTCCTGACATATAAGTGCCTAAATGGCCTCGCACCCCTCTACCTCTCCGAGCTCCTGGAACCATATGTTCCGTCTCGGGCCCTGAGATCATCGGACCAGCTTCTTTTGGTCGTTCCAAAATCACGCCTGAAGCTCCGAGGGGATCGAGCTTTTTCAGTCAGAGGTCCCAACCTGTGGAACAACCTGCCCCTCAACATCAGGCAGGCCTCCTCCCTCCTGATGTTCAAATCCCTCCTTAAAACGCACCTGTTTGCTCTGGCGTTTAATACTGTGTGAGTTAGTTTATTTTGTTCTGTGTACCTCATTTTAAATTCTGTTGTTTTATGATTGACATTTATTTTTACTGCTTGTTTTTCCTTAGTGTGATCATTAGTGTGTGTTATTGCTCCAGTAATTTTAATTCTGTATGATGTTTTTGTTTTGCTGCCTATGTTTTGCTACATTTCTGTTAAGCACTTTGATAACAGTTTATCTGTTTTAAATTGTGCTCTACAAATAAAGATGACTTGACTTGACTTGACGCTGCACATTCTCCCCCCCACAAAATGCCTTCGTATATATATTTTACCAACCATTGGTTGTTGAACTACAGCTGGATAATCAAAACCAGTTTAGCCAACTCTAACTTGAAAACCTTCTCACTGGTCTCACAGGATCACCTTTGTTAGGTTATTTGAAAAATGATTTTTAGTTTAAAATGAAAATCAGTTCAGACTTGAGTCATCACATCTGTTTGTGTGACGGTGTTGCAGCCGGAGCATCTCAGGTGAAGTGGAACAAGAAGAACCGACACCTGCTGGCATCCAGCCATGATGGAGACATTCGGGTCTGGGACAAAAGAGTGAGTGACAGAACAAATCAAAACTCTTATTATTGTCATGTTCAGGATGTATTGCACTCACATGGTTACTCTGATAAATACATCTTATCTGCTCATCTGTTCTGAGACCTGGACCTGTTTCCAGACCTGGTTTCTGAGAGAAAAACATCCGAAACTGTCTTTTCCGTCTGACTCCCAGACTTTAGCAGCTCTCTAGCCCCATTAGAGAAACAGGTTATCACTAATCTGGGAGTGAAAATGGACCCGTCCATGAAACTAAACAGTTACTTCAACATGATTGTTAATCCTGTTTTGTTTAGTTTTTTCAGTTGAAGTGACTGTCTAACTTGAAGCCCATACTGTCCAAAAGTACCCTTGACATAATAATACATGCTTTTATAACATCCAGGCTTGATTGCTGCAATACTCTTCTTTTTAGAATCAGTCAGACATCTATTGCACGTTTACAACTGGTTCAAAATACTGCAGCCCGATAATATGATATGTCTGCTTAGAGGTTGTAAAAATGTCCATTTATTGTCTGTGTAACAACTTTAGAAAATATGCTTTTATTTTGAAATATGTTTGAAATTTCACCAAATCTTGATTAACACTGAATAACCCTCATTTTGGTTATGTTTTAAGAGTTTTCTACAATGTATTATGTTAAAAACTGAAATCTGTACTGTCACTTTAAGAGCGCTTTGTTATGACGTCAGTACTGTGCGTCTGCAGTGTTGCCAGGTGTACGATAATTATCGTATTTGTACGACAATTTTGCCCTCTGTACGATCAATAATCCCAAAAAAGGCCAAATATACGATAATTTGACCATTCCGTGAATGTGTGGTGGTAATTGGTTGTCATCAGCATAGATATAAACACTAGATCCCGCATTGGCTGCTGCAGTGCAGGAATTTCTGACGCCATCTTGGAGCGGTCGTCCTTATTTGGTTAAAGCAAAAGATGTTTCAGCACTTCACAGCTTATTTCTGTTCTAATTGACTGATTGTTGACGTCAGGTCTCGGGGGTATAACTTTTCACAAGTAAGATGAACACATTATTGTTAGTATTTTGTGAATTGAATATTACTGTACTGTTTTTCTGTCCACCAGCTGATGTTATGTTCAGTGTAACACAATGAAGCAATGAAGCTGACTGAGATCTGATGACAGGAATATTTTGCTAACAAGCATACTCACAATGTCAGTAGTTTTGGTTCATTATCAACAGATATGCATCAGAATTGGAGTTTTGTTTAAGTTCTAGGATATAAAATATAAAACTAGAGAGAATATAGGAAATAAAAAATAAGATTGACCTCCTTTGTACAAAGTTTTTGTGTAGACACAAATCTCCTGTTTTCATTTTGAAGGTTTTCCAAAGAACAAGATGTAAGAAAGAGGTGGAAGTATCTTTGAGTAGTCCAAAAAAGTTCAATCTGGTCCTCTGGACATTCAAAAAAACAAAACAAACAAAAAAAAACAAAGCAAAAAAAGTAGAAACGTTTTGTCTCATCCGAAAGACTTCCTCAGTCTGAGGTGCTGTATTCAGCTGTTTTGCTTTCCCAAGTGAGGTAGACACAGGACACGTGCCATGCCCTCACTGCAGCCTCTCCTCCAACGGGTATCAAAACTAATCCTATGGCTCAGGTGTTACCTGCAGCCGTTTCCTAAGACAGTTTTAGTCTAAGCATGTATTGAGATGATTCACCCAGACTTTTAACTACCTACAATCCTTGCACCACACCCAAAGTCTCACCTCGTGCCTCGCCCGACCTAGCAGCAGGAGTGGGGTCGTTTGGCAGACGAGGAAGCGCAAGTTAACGGTAGCTTATCTCCTGATTTAGCGTTGCAATTGTTATCCGATCTGGCTTTGTTTAGAATCTAGGTATAAGATTCTTGGATGTTGTTTTATAATCAAAGCTACGTAACCTTTTAAAACCTCCCATGATTCTGTTGTTACACTGAACCAAGTTTTTCCACTTCCATGAACAAAGTGGTGTTGAAATAAGAATCAAGAATTTTACGTTTTGCTTTGCTTTAATCAATAATTTTGCAGGGGTAACAGCAGTATGCTGGGGGTTGGAGGATGATTGTAGGTTTGCTCCTGTTTTATGAAATTATCTTAAACAAAGTACAGGTTCGGGGAATGATCGGAGCAATGAAAAAACACTCACAGGCTGTTTCTGCTAGAATAATAGTGTAATTTATTAGACCGCCACAGATAACAGCCAAGCGAAGCACAAGTACATTCAGTACAAATCAAACATTGATGTAAAGCCCCTCACCGTGACATCGACTGGGGAGCCCTCAGTCCAAGTGGAAAGGTAACATCAATTGGCTGGGCATCGGATCAAGATCACCAGCAGACTCCAACTCTTATTCTGAGTGTTATAGTTTTTATACACCCCCCCCCCCCCCCAGGCTGGAGCAAAACATGTTTACCAGCTACCAAGACAGCTGTGCTGCAGAGCCACAACTCCCAAAAAACATGCTTTGCAAGACCAAGGCCGTTGTGTGTGACCCTGATGAAGAAAAACACGTTTACAGGGAACTCTGGGCGCTATAGCTACAAGACGGGCCAAATCTTCTAGCTAGAACACTCCCAGAGGTTTAACACTGCATTCCTTAGAGTACGTCACTTCCCCAGCACAAGGCCTAGTTTGTTACAGCTTAAATCATATAAGTTGAGTATAAATTGACATAAGTTGAGTATAAATTGACATAAAAGCATAAAAATAATCATTATTATATCATCTCCGTTCAGCCCCAGATATTTTCCTTCTGGCAGGCTGTGCTCTGTGAGTTCTACGGTCGTCCTGACTCACTCAAGTGCCGCAAAACCTCCACAATTTGCCCACACTCTCTACCCGCCCCAATACGTTATCTCTCACCACAATAACAAACCTTTCACAACTCCAAGCAATCAAATTTAAGATATAATGGATCTTTCTGTCTGCCAATTTGTAGACTACCGCTATAATTTGGAATACATTTTTATTAAGGACAATATAGGTCCTCCATTGCTCGTCTACAACTGGTCCAAAATGCTGCAGCCCGATTTTTAACTGGTACAGGCTATAGAGAGCACATCACGCCAGTTTTGGCCTCCCTGCACTGGCTACCCATTCACCTTGGGATCCAATTCAAAATTCTCATGTATGTTTTTAAATCACTATCTCACTGATCTTCTGCAGCCATATGTCCCACCGCGCTCTCTGAGGTCAGCAGACCAGATGCTTCTCTCAGTCCCAGAAACCTGTCGTAAGCTCAGAGGTGACAGGGCTTTCTCTGTTGCAGGTCCACGACTGTGGAATGAGTTGCCACTGAGTGTCCGGCAGGCTCCCACACTCTCAGTCTTTAAGTCTCGCTTGAAGACCCACTTCTATTCTCTTGCCTTTAACACGGTGTGATTTGTTTTGGTCCGGTCTGTACTCTACACTGTTGGCCATTTTAATTAGCTTCTGCTGCTATTTGTATCTGTATTTTTATTTTATGTTTTCCTGTCCGCTGTGCATGTTTGTTTTCTTTTGTACAGCACTTTGGTTGGCCTTGTTGCTGTTTTAAGTGCTCTATAAATAAATTGGTATGGTATGGTAATATTGGTGAAACGTCTCCTTACCATCGCCTTATCTGTGGAATTCCTCGAAATTCCGGCTCAGTAAGAAGCAAATTTCCCCATTCACACTTGAATGTGGGCCGTTTCTGGTCCTGCAGCTGGTCTGAATTTGAAGAAAAGGGTTCAAGCATATAATCCGGGCTGAAGGAAGAAAAATGACTCCAAACGAAGCCTAATCCATTGGATTTGCCCCCGTTCTTCTTCAGCTGGGACCGTCCAAAAACTTGTCCTATAATCCACACGCGTCCGTGGTCCAAACAGTCCTGTTTGTTACATCCACACGAGTCAGTGGTCCCGACAGCCCCGGTTTCACAGAATCATCTGTATTTATAGGGTGAGGTCTTGACTGACACTTCCAAAAACATCATGCCACCTGCTTAATCCAACCTTCTTTGGGCCGGACCTAGTTCAGGGTTCTATGCATATCTATGGGAATTTGCCATGTCATTCCTTATACATATTAAAATCTGGGTGTAACTCTTTTCTGTCCGGTTCTGTCCGGACATGTCTGAGTCACCATGACTTGTTTTTCTCACTTGTTTTCCTTATAAGGAGTTGTTTTTTTGCTTGAAGCTGTTTTTAAGGTTTGCCATTGTACAACACTTTTTGAGTAACTCTTTTTGTACAACAACTAAACATTATTTCTGATAAAACAGTTCACTTCCTAAATTTTCAACATCATGAACAACTTAAAACAGAATATATTTTAAAATCCCAAAGATTATAGTATCACTTGATTATTTTTACTTGATTCGTTTGTAAATCATCCATTCATTCTTATTTATCTGAAAACTGACATTCATTAGGAAAAAGTCTAGTTCTTCCTCCTTCACTCTCCTGCTGCCTGTTTTCGTGTGTCTCTAAGTGTAACTGCATGTGTGCGTGTGCATCTGTGTAATGTGAGAGTGTGTGCTTGCATCTTTGTGTGTGTGTGCTCCCAGCATCTGTTTTCAATCAGCTTAGCAGGCCCGGACAAGTACACAAGCCCGACTCATGCCTGCTTCTGAGGAACAGACTGTTTCCACCAAGTGACTTTTATTGACACCCCCTCCGTGGAATCAGACTGTTCCCTCGACCCACACTAAGCTCCAAGCCAGTCTTTATCTTAATCAGCTGTATCCACACTTAAGACGTCTTCTTCGTAATCTAGATCAACCAGATCCTCGTGATATGGTGCTGGGTCTTCAGTGTCACTGGGCCCCAGGCTTCGGGCCTCCTCGTCAGCGGTGTCCCAATAATCCACTATCGTCAGTTCGCCAGAGTCGACCTCCCGTGAGTCGTCCAGTTGAGATACCAGATCACTGGGGTGACGTGCATCCTGAAGCGACGGTGGGGCTGTACCGGTGACAGGCTGAGAGGGTGGTGCCTACACACTCATGGGAGATCCCACAGGAGTGAT